ACATTAATGGACTTGAGGAATCTGATTCACCTGGTGAAGTTCGTTTACTAAAAGTAAACTGATTGCTGAGCAGAAAAGATCTGCAGATCTCTTCACTGTTTAAATATGCACTCCCAAAAGATGAACTGGAGAAAGTTCCAAATGGTATTTTTTTTCAAAAATGGTGTGCTTATGAGGAAATGGAGACCACCAGATGTGGCAGCTTTAGAGGACTGGACTATTGTTTATCAAGTCGTTGTTCCGAAATATTGAAAGTTGCCCATGGAAAGTCATTCAAGTGACAAAATTATGAGAAATTTCTTTTGGCCAAAAATTAGGCAAGATATTTCTCAGTTTTTACAAAACTTGTCATAACTGGCAGTTAGTCGGAAAATCTAGCCAGAAAATTCCTGTTGCTCCTTTGAAACCTATCCCAGCTTTTGAAGAACGTAAATTCCATCCTGAGGACATGGTCTTAGTATTGTTACCCACTATGGGATATCTAATAAAAAAAAGAAAAGAAAGAAAGAAAAAGACAGAAAGAGAGGGAAAGAAAAAGACAGACATAAAGAAGAGAGAAAAAAAGGAAAAACAAAATATAAGCCTGTAAAATTACAGTTTATCACTACAAGATTATGGTTTGGACATAAGCTATGTCAAAGGGGTTGATAACATTTGTGCTAATGCACTCTCACTTGCTATGTAATTTTATCATCATAAGATTATTTGTATTAATTGTGTTGTATACTGTCATGATTATTGAAGTTTTTTAATCCTTTGAATAATGTATTATATTTACAGGAACATTTACAAAGTTCGAACATCACAAATCATTTAACTTCAGTGGATTCTCATCGGACATTAATACTTTCACGTAAACATTATATAAATTCATTGTGGAAACTCGGCGTGTGTGGCTGGTGGATAGCGAAGGACAAACTAGCTAGCTCCCCATTAAGCGACTCGTACCTACGCCAACTCGTAATTGTTTGTTTGTTTGAAGTTAAGCACAAAGCTACACAATGGGCTATCTGTGCTCTGCCCACAACGGGTATCAAAACCCGGTTTCTAGCATTGCAAGTCCGCAGACATACCGCTGTGCCACTGGACGGCTAACTCGTAATTAACTCGCTCATCATGAACCCTCGATAAATATATCGAATAAGTTCCAGACAAGAAAGAGGACTTTATATTGCTTGTAAGTTTGTGAAACTTTTGTTTATAGATCATTGTGTGTGTAATAATTATTTGTAATAACTGTTTTTGTAAATTGTATTGTTGTTTGTATATTAAAACATATTTTGTATTAGAAAAGAAAACTGCGTGTATCAATCTTGTTGGCAAATATCATAAACTAACTATATATTGGCTTTTACTTAACTGCTAAATCCAAAGTACAATTTAACTCAGTTTTAGGCTATTAGAAATTGTAATACGTAACAAAGTAAATACTGTGAGAAGGAGCCCAACTTCACCATGTAGTTAGCATGCAAGTGAATACTGAGAGCAGAAGCACGACTTCGCCACCGTCTACCCTGACATCGGATATTGCTGTTGAGCCTCCAACAAACCCTCTTATCTTTCAACCCCGTGCACATCTTTGTTGAACGATTTGTATCTTTGTATTTATTACTTGTATAGGTGATATTTAAGGTTAATGAATCAGGTGGCAAACATGTTTCGTGTACGTGTGTCCAATATGATGAATTTAATTCATACGGAAAACGTTATTTATTACATGTGTGACACCATATTTTTGCCTGTACAAGCATGAGTATCGAGCTCTTCAAATACCCATGTAAACATGCAATATAGATAGATTGTAGTATTTTGTTCAATAAAATAACTGTCCTACACCTGCACTATAACAATTGAGTATGCCCAAAGACCTTTATTCCGAACTAGAGAAGCTTGTTAAATTTAATGATTGACTGAACCATTTAATACGTTTTTACTAGCTAATATGCGTAATAATTAGAACGAATAATTCCCTGCGTTTTTTGTTTGTTTGTTTACTTCAGAATTTCACACAAATCTACAAAAGGGATTTCTGCGCATAGCTGTCCCTAACTTTGAACCGATAGTTTAGAGATAAGGCATCTACTCAATAGCACCTGCCGTCAACATTTGGGTTACTCTTGACTGATCGAAGAGTAAGAATTGTATAGTGCACCCATGGCCCCAAAGTGCGAAGCCAAATTGCCTGAAATTAAAAAAAAATGTTTTAACAGTGATACTTAATACGATTTACGTCTACAAGAAACGCCTCATTACGTCTAGAATCAGGAAATGGCGATTTGGCGCTTCATTACGTCTAGAATCAGGGACTGACCATTTGGCATTTTATTACGTCTAGAACATGGGCATAGCCATTGGACGCTTTATTACATCTAGAAGCCAGGACTAACCGTTTGGCGCCTCATTACGTCTAGAAGTAAGAACTGGCCGTTTGGTTCTTTATTACATCTAGAAGCCAGGACTAACCGTTTGGCGCCTCATTATGTCTAGAAGTAAGAACTGGCCGTTTGGTTCTTCATTACGTCTAGAAGCAAAAACTGGTCGTTTGGTTCTTCATTACGTCTAGAAGCAGTGACTGGTCATTTGGCGCTTTATTACGTCTAGAAGCAAGAACTGGCCGTTTGGTTCTTCATTATGTCTAGAAGTAGAAACTGGCCGTTTGGTTCTTCATTACGTCTACAAGCTAGAACTGGTCGTTTGGTTCTTCATTACGTTTAGAAGAAAGAACTAGTCGTTTGGTTCTTCATTATGCCTAGAAGCAGTGACTGGTCATTTGGCGCTTTATTACGTCTAGAAGCAAGAACTGGACGTTTGGTTCTTCATTACATCTAGAAGCAAGAACTGGTCGTTTGGTTCTTCATTACGTTTAGAAGCAAGAACTGGTCGTTTGGTTCTTCATTACGTCTAGAAGCAAGAACTGGCCGTTTGGTTCTTCATTGCGTCTAGAAGTAGAAACTGGCCGTTTGGTTCTTCATTATGTTCTTTACTACTATTTAGCCAACCCACTTTATTATGGGTCTACAAACAGCGGAAAGACTGATGTGTAGCTGAGTTAAAGGTACCATATCTGTACTATATTTATGTTTCATCAAAATACTTCAAACGATTGCTATTACACATTATATAACAAGAACTAAATATTACAGTGTGATAACCTTAGTTGGAGTAAAAACGCAAACATTAGTAACAGTTCACCATACACTAAATACCAAATTCAGTAGCATGATCCAGCTACATAAAGGCATGTTCTAACTACATAACAACATAATCAAACTACATAATGATATGTTTAAGATATATTACGCAATGGCACAGCTATATTGGCATGTCCCAGCTTCATTACAATGTCCAGCTGCATAATGGCATGTTTTAATTAAACAACGACTTGATCTAGCTACGTAACGGTATGTTCTAGATACAGCTACATAATGGCATGGTCCAGTTTCATAACGGTATCATGCAGCTATATAACGATCGATATATATACAACAATTATGTTATAATTTAACATGACAATGTACATTGTTAATATTACCATTCAATGTAAGGAATTTTTCTTATTCTGTATGAGTATTAGCCATATAATCGTTGATAAACAATCACAAATTTCTGTAAAGGTGTTATTACGAAGTAAACATGTCGTACAGTACATGACAGTACAAATATCAACAGCTTCTAAATATTCATTCAAATCTTGAATTAGCAGTTTATTCTATAACGTTATCTATACAAATAAATGATGTTTCGTACCAAGTCCAGATTGGATGTAATGTGGTTGCTAACTAATAACATTGGATGTGAGGTGGCTTACCAATAATAGGAACGGATGTAATATGCTTACTTACCATATTTGAGTTTAGTGATTTTGATTGAACTTAAGCGTAATGCACACCACTATTATTCAATGGAAATGTGTCATTTCTTCGTCTTCTACGAGATCCGCATTATGGGTTGTAAGACATATACACCAACTCTTTAGAATTAAGACAGACTGGGAATAGTAAAGGAAATACATAGTTAATAGATTCGTGTTTTCATTTCTTGATCTCTGCGTTTTGTTACAAGTTACAGTACATTTCATAAAGTTACATCCTTCCTGTATCTCGAATCACTCCATTGAATCGCGTACTCTTTGACGGTTTGCAGGGAGTTACAGAGTTCACTAAAACTTGTAGGGTAGCAGTATGATTTACGTTCTTAGGCTTAAGATGTTCAGGATCAAAGTTCACAGTCATGTATCTTAATACTATAAGTTTGGCGTTACAACTGAATTTACATGCTGTCACTTCAAGTGAAATACAATGCTTAAACCTTCGAAGTCCAACAGTTGATAATCCACACCACTAAAACATAGACCACCTTCGAACCCATAAAAATACCATAACTTCTATTCGCTGAAAAAAAAAAAAATCGAAAATCATCAACTGCGAAAAATATACATTTTGATCGATTAAGTAAAAAGAACATATCTTCAAGAAAGTTATGACACGATACAATAATGGTTAAAATTCGGCCAAAGTTAATGTTTTTATTTTTTTCTTAAACTGCTATTTTCAACGTCGAAAATTACTTTTTTTATCTTAGCAAACTACACCGCTTAGTGGTTTGGGTTTGTTCCTTTGCTTTATAGTTATTTTAAAATTCTAAAGATGGCGACACTCTCGCTATAAATATAGCACTTACAATGATTAAACGCAGTGTCCTGTTGTCGGGTTGGTTTTCTGTCGTCTTTTTCCTTGTTCAGATTATTTGAACCCTCAAGGCTTCCCATTCTTTCATTCTTTCCTAAAGAAATAAACAATTACATGAATATTTAACTTTCTGAAACGAAAACCAAACCTAGCTTGACATGATGTGTCTTCTTAGTTAAAATGAGGAGGGAAAAAAAAGAGACGAAAGCTGACGAATCTAGGTATAGGCGATCAAAAGGTCGATTTTAAATGCAATTTTTACATGCATTTGATTTGAAATCCGTAATGCACTAATAAAGGAAAACGTGAAAAAATCTTGTAGATCTAGTTCTGTAAAATACACAAATTACACATTCTTGAGTGAAAGAAGTATTGAGTAGAATGTTGAATTACGAATTATATTTGCTGTTTATTTATTTTCAAACATTCGCGTTATGCTATATAAGGACTACCTGCACCATATCGTCCTAACTTTGAGCTGGTGGACCAGAAGGAAGGCAGGACAGCATCGCCTGTTGCAAATTCTTAGTATAATCTTGTCTGAGAAAATAGTGGGATTTCACCGTTACCCTTATAACGCACTCACAGTACAAAGTGCAGAGTGTGATTATTTTTATTTTCGTGGTAATGGGGCCGACGCGAATGATGAACCCGGAAACATAATATTACGTCTCCGTTCGTTAATTAACTTTCCGTAACTTCGTTCCGACGAAACTTTAGCGACACAAGTCCTTACTTAA